GCACAGATGGAGCAGCAGCTTGCCATGGGCAGTACAGTGGCTTTCAGGCAAAGCTCTCTTCTGCCGCGAATACAAACGTTTACGTGTGGTGCTATGGGCATGAACAAAATTTAGTTGTGATAGTCTCGACGAAGGTATATGTTGCAGCAATGTCATTATTCGAGACGTTTTAAAAAGCCGCAGACTTCTTCAAAAGTTTCTATAAGCGAAAGGATACCTGGAAAAGGGCAAATGAGAGTAAGTTAGGATCGGACAAATTGAAAAGAATTAAGCAGATAAGTGAAACACGTTGATCGTGAAAATCAAGTGCATCATCAGTTGTGTTCGAGACATCTACAAACCACTCCAAAGCTGTTTTCCCAGATCTGATCAAGTGTTTGGTTATAGTGCAGCATTCAAAGTCACATGATGCTGCCACAAAGACAGGAGTCGGAAGGAGGGCTTTCTGAAGTATGAAACAATTTTAACCATTTGCACATTCATGCCCATTTTCAATCATATTACGCCTGTTTCAGAATACCTTCAAGCAAGTAGACTTGATTTAGTTCAGGTTTGGAGGCCAATACAAGAGTGTGCATTTCAACTGAGAGCACTGAGGGACGACATGCAAAGCGTTGTACCTAGACCAGTCGGATATATCAGACAAATGAACACAATTTTATATAACATTGATTGACAGATCTATTAGATATTGAGGAATGTGATGAAGTCAGGTATCAGGAAGAAAAATGAAAAAGCTAAGTATGATGAAACAAGATCTACAGAAAAAGACACAACTACATCACCTATGACTACATACAGGATTGATATTTTCAACGTGGTATTTGATCAAACAATAGGAAATCTGATGAGACAATTTGCGGAATATAGTCAGCTGTGTGCTGACGCGCAGTCTTGTGACCCAAAGAGTTTTGTTAATATAAAGAAAGAGGGCCTGTTTGCCATATCATTGAGTAAGATAGGTCAGCTAATGTCACACCTAGATCTTACAAAAGTAAGATCTGAACTGGAACATTTTGCAAGTGTGTATCCGAAGCTAAATCAAAGTTGGAACAGGAGTTAGTTGAGGGAGATGATACCTCTGATGCATCTGAGACTGGCCACAGAAGAAGACACGAGGATGTTACTTTGTGCAAAACTTTCCAGAGGTGCAACTGGTGTTTAACATGTGTTTTTCAGTTGCTTGAGAACTACACGCTACATTCAAAAGCATATGACAACTTACATAAAGTGTATCACAATCTTTTGACACTTTCCATCACTCAAATTCACTGTGAGAGATGTTTCTCGAAGTTAGAGATAATAAAAACAAGACTGAAGAGCCTGTTGACAGCTGAGTATTTCGAAGCCCTCATGTTCATAAACATTGAAATCAGCATTATAGCTGAGATAACAACAGTCAAATCATAGAAATGATCTCAAAATTATCTAATGAACTCAAACGGCTGCTGGTGTATTGAATTGAGATTTTCGAGTACTGTTAATGCACACAAACATTGGACACTTACAAGTCTTATTTTTATGTATGTGCTATCCACATATAAAACGGGAACATACTAATATATAAAGTATACGTGTATTTTGAGCTCCGTATACACACGAGTTCCGTATACCACTGAATATGTTTACTATTTTAAATTAAGAATTAAGGACAGTCTTTAAAATAAACGCAAAATTATTCTAGCAAGAGTTTTATCTCTTCTTTGCAAGTTACAGAATCTTCACTTGTCGACTGATAATATGTAAGTACAAGATGCAGTGCAAGTTGATAAACTTATCTCAAATTATTAGTTCACCAATGGAGTGTCCCTAATAATCCTTTACTAGTGTCCCCAAAAGAGGCCCAGACCGCCTCTGTTTATGCTAAGGGAGCAATTCTAGCGCTTTCAAAAAACAACCATTGTTTACATGGCCTCATAGAATTGTCTAAACTGCAAGCCTTAATCTTGGACTAAATAAAAAAATAATAGTATATAACCTTGTTAATGCTTAATTTATACTTTTAAAAATGGCCCAGCGTGGCCAGGTGGTTAGGGCGCTCAACTCGCAATCTGCGGGTTGCGGGTTCGAATCCCCGTCCCACCAAACAAGCTCGCCCTTTCAGCCGTGGGAGCGTTATAATGTGACGGTCGTTTGTAAAAGAGTAGCCCAAGAGTTGGCTGTGGGTGGTGATGACTAGCTGCCTTCCCTCTAGTCTTTCACTGCTAAATTAGAGACGGCTAGCGCAGACAGCTCTCGTGTAGCTTTGCGGAAAATTCATAACAAACTAACAATTACATGCAGATAGGCAACACAGAAAGTAAATACGCGAAGAGATTTAGCACCAGCAATGAAAATCTCTATTATTGCCATGAAATATGTCCTAATTTTATTAAGCTCTGATAGCTTCTATAATATGGTTATTTTTGCTGTGTCATTGTGCTCCCCTGGAAAATTCAAACTATGAGTCCGAAGAATCGCTTCAGATAGTCATGTGATGGTTTGAAAGTTTTATTGCTTTGTAATAGATGAGAGAAAATCCTTCACATTACTGTTTCCACTTTCGATATTTATGAGAAGAAATATTTTACGTTAGTTTATTCAACTTCCGTAACTCACATAATCCAACTTGCAGCTTTTATGGAAGCTCGCATACGATTTATGATTCAAAATGAATTGAATTTTAAAGATGAAGTGGTCAGTAACTCAGTATAAATGGAATTAGTTTATAAAATATACATTACACACTTAACACAAGATGAAAAGAAAAGTATTTTCTCTCACATACTTCTCCATCAAAATGGTAAAATTATCTCCTCACACCAAGTCCAATGATTAATTAACAGCAACATTTCTCTAGAGTAAATCCCAAGATCTTTAAGCACAAACTACATCAGATAAAGTACCCACTGAAGGATTCAAGTACGTTTATAAAAATAAAATCATATTCGAACATAATATTCATAAAAAAGTTTAGTTTACAATATTCTAACTCCTCCTACACCTCGGTAGCTCAGCAACAAATTTGACGGTTTATTTATGTTAATTTTCAGGGTTCGATGCCTGCAATGGGCACAAAAGTGATAGATCATTGTACAGCTTTATGCTTAAGTAAAAAAGAAAGAACATAACTTTTTAACTTATTGTAATTTTAAGCATTTTTTCTGTCATGATTTTCAGGGAATTTAAAGACGTTTTGCGGGGCTATTTTATTTATCTTAAATTTTATAAATTAGTTAGAAAAAAGTACTTACATGGCCTCTAGTTTGTAGTGTGTTTAGTATTAGCTGAATGTACACTGGATCTGTCCATTGGATGTACCCCGTATTGGAAAAGTAAAACTGACTATAATTTCGAATTTACGAAGTACATTTTCAAGAAATGCGGTAAGCTTTTAGTGAACAGTACAAGTCTGTTATACACACACAAAAAATTAGATGAGTTACTAAAGTTTTTGTACTAAAATATGTTGTGAAATGCCAATGGCAACCTGACTCAGAATCTGACAAGTCGGAGTGCAACGTGACGTTCATGTGAAGAATAGCAATACTTTTGTCCATCGTACAGTTTTAATATTGCATTTCATTAACCTCTACAACCAAGTTTTTTCGGTATCCATGTATACTGTATCTGGTATTTTCTCTACTGTATCACGAACTTTCTCTAAATCAGCAATATATGGTAACATGTTATGTTGATAACTTTGAAATCAGTTGCATAACAAAATGTTGAATGACACTCTGTTTTATTTTTTAAGAACTCGAGTCTCTTGGAATATTAACGCTAAATTTAATAGTAAATTTCACATGTACATTTTGTAGATATATTTGAGAGCAGTCTTTAACAGTAAGTATATTCGTCTTTCTGACAGTGTTAGCTCGAACAATAGATTCAGATTCGAAATAAGACATTGCAATAAAACTAAAGGGTATACAGGGTTGAGTACATTATATTATAATAATTTAGAACATGTAAATCAGCGAGTCACTTGGCAACCAAATCCGATGTAAAGTCGTAGTGGAAGGTATCAGAACTGTTTTTCGACAATGTTTGGCGTTTTGTAGGTAGGGTGAAGACAACAAAAATTGATCACCTTTGAGAATATCATAATAACGGGCTTAGTTCAGTGATGAACAGTTTACCAAACAGGTATATCCCTTGTATTAATGTCATTAGGGAACATGGTAATATGGATCAACTTGAGATACTAGAATCGTCCAGACGAAGATCTCTAACAAGTCATAACCCAGCCGTAGTAAGCAAAATGTAGCGTTTTGATTTCGTATTTGTTTGTTTGTTTGTTTTAGCGCAAAGTTACACAATGAACTATCTGCGGTCTGCCCACCGCAGGTAATCCAGCCTCAAATTTGAGTGTTGTTGGTCCGTAAGCTTTCCGCTTACACACCAGGAAATGCAGAATTTTGTAACAGATAAGAATCCACGAACACACAGATCAACGAAAAATGGTGCCCACGTGTCCTAGCAACATTAAGCAATATAATCAAGAGTGACTCCGTTTGGAAAAGCGACGTGTACACAAATTGCTTCGACGAAATATCTGTTGAACCATGGCAAACCTCAAGCAGCTGGAGAATGGATACGGGTATCCATGTTATTCCATACGAAAACATGTAGATTTTTGTGCGATCGTACTGTTCAAACAGGAAAACTGTCATCCTTGTACACTAGATAGGGATGGGGATGTATTCATTTGGACATGAAACTACGCTGTAGAGCTATTGTTAAGATGCACAGTTGTCATATAGAGACAACTGAACGTGTTGTGGCGCCGAAATCGTTTAAATATAACGTACTCAACCCCTGCATAAATATACATATGTTTCATATCTTCGCATATATATTTAAACAAAGTATGTTTTATTTCATGAAAATTTTTTCTGGAAAATGTGATTTTTCAACTTAATAATTACCAATAATTGTGACAGTCCTGGGTATTTAAAAAATATTACTTCAAAATTTTGGCTCTATATTTTCTGTAAGAAAAATTTATGTTTTCGCAGGCGAATACTATCCAGTCTATGAAGATACATCCAGCATACTTCAGGAAGCAAATAAGAGAATAAAGAGCCACGGACAAAGTTCTGGTTTGTATGATATGTAACACCATGAATCACTGTAATCTTTAATTGGTTGTGAATGTATCTGATAGACAGATAAATAGAATGTTCTTTAAAAACTCACATGAGTATCAAGAAACACAACTTTCCGCAGTTTATGAGAGAAATGTTTTTCTCTAAAAATTCTAAATGAAACTTTAATATGTTTTGAAGTATTTATGATCTATAAAGCATCGGGCAATTTTTTTTTAATGGGATATATATAAATATATATATATATTATGTAAGTTTGAAGTAGCTTTCAGTTAAGCCTACAAATCTACTATACTGTACTACACACTTTAGGATACTAGTTACTCTGTCGTAAGAAGTATTTTAATAGAATCGATATCAACCAAGCTTAAAATATTCTTGTTTTCTCAGCTCACTTATTCTTAACTTGTTTAGTCCAAAAACAAGTGATATTTTTAATAAGCATAACTTTATATTATTGTCAGTTTAGTAAGTATATATATATATATAACTCGTATTAGTTCTTGTATTTCTTTTTCGTCATTCTTTTCAGCTTCCAACGAGCGGCGTGGATCCAGAGGTGGAGTTTCGATGTACTTCTTCGTCTTGTGTTTCGTTTTCATCACGTCTTGAAAGGTGATCTGATATAGTAACGGAAACAAATTCTGATCATTTTCTGTAATTCCTCGTGTGTCACTAAACGTAATCATAAGTTCTCAACAAATCCTCGTTTTAATGGTAATTACAGCGAGGAGAAACGAAATTGATCTTTCATCATATCCATAAGTGAACCTACTTAGACATTATTTAATCCCCCTGTTTACGCAAGACTGTCTCGTATTATCACTGCTCTTTTCCAACTTAATTTAAGAATCAACATAACCCTATGAATATGTTGCAATACTTCATAAAGACGCAAACGTATTCAAAACACAAATACGTTACTTAACTCCAAACAGAGAATAGAATTATTTGAAATTAAAAATAATAAGTCAGATGCATGCATTTATACAAATAGGACGTTATGAGTAAACGACTTATCGGTATGAATTCAACGCCTTTGCTAGTAGGTTTTTAGTAATGTTTTTCGCGTGTTTCTCGTGATCGTGAAAATATTACATGGATAATGAGGGTGACACAAAGTATTTGAAATAAACTTACGTCTAAAACTATTAAACTATTTGAAAACTGTCCTTTACACGTTCACAAGATAAAACCTTTAATGAAACAACGTCTCCTACGATAAATTTATACCACCATAAGAAACCATGATTAAACAACTGTGAGAGGGTTTGATTAGTATGGAGCTTCATTAGATACGTCATAATACGTTAGATTTAAGGTTAGGCCAAATGGCACAGCGGTATGTCTGCGGACTTACAACGTTCGAAACCGGGTTTCGATACCCGTGGTGGGCAGAGCACGTATAGCCCATTGTGTAGCTTTGTGCTTAACTTCAAACAAACAATAACTAAAGCAAAATTAAATGCAGTGGTTCGTTTTTCCTCGTCTTTTAATTTTTAATAGTTATCTTTTCATTTTAACGAAGTAAGTAAACCGTAATCACCAACTGTTTATATATAATTGATGATTCTTATATACATATAGCTATTTTTGTCTGTAACTATGATCATTTAGTGGATTATCCATCTTAGTATATGAAATAAAAGGTACATGTTTGCTTCTAGAGCTAAACCTTCATGTTATTTGTTACGGTGTATCATAAGGAGTGTATGAGTATTCGAAAAAATTATATGTATATTATTTTCCTCTTTTTTTTCAAATTTCAACTGCTTGGATAGACACAAGACTTGTTGTCAGCGTTCGCGTTTTTTGTCGTTGCCTGTAAGTTGTTGGGTTTTTTCTTAAACATTGATTTGAAAATGATGCATCGAAAAAAAAGGACAAAATTGAAATAAGAATGCACGATGAGACTTTCAAATAGTATTGTATGTAAAGGTCAAAGAGCATAATCAATAAATAACAGTATACAGTATAACAGTATAATAACAGTATAACAGTATAGCTGGGAGGATAATTCACTATGAGTACATTGGCTTTCAGCTAGCCTGTCCTTTTACACCCCAACCCCACTTCATTCCTCCCTTTTTCTAATTGATTCAGCTGGATTAGATTAGAAGTAACTGATCCATTTTTGTTAATTAATCTGATAATGTATAGTGAATCACGCAAATAATGCCAGGAATATGAAATACAATTTGTTCAATATAGTAATATTATTTCAAAACGTAAATATTTATTTCGTGAATTATTAACTGATGACACTTAAAGTCATACAAGTATACTATTATAATCACTTTCTGTATATTACAGACCAAGTCATATATATATTAAGAAATGTACGTAATCTATAACATTTTCATTTTCATAAACAAGACTGATGAATCACTTTGAAATTTTGTGTGGTGCAACCATCGATTAGCGAAACAATCAGTGGACACGTTTTTAAATTTGGCTACGTGTACGTAAGCGCTCTCAAAACCATGTTCAATAGTATCTTTAAGGAGAAAAATCCACTCAGTTTACTACTTTTTGTTTTTGAATTACACTGAACTATACTTTTGAACAAACACAATAGACATCAGTGAAGTAACTACATCTACTTTTTTTCTCGTTGTTAGAATGATCTTTACATTTAAAAGCAACTGATTAAAAAAAGATATGTCTTCTATTCAAGAAGTCAACTTTACTTGAGACGTGCACGCGGTTGTTACGAAAAAAAAATTCTCACAGTAGAATTACCAATAATAATTCTGAAGTAAATCTGACAGCTGTGAAGTAATCTAGGGGGAAATATTATCCTGGTCGCTGAAAGTAGATCTAATCACATAGAAAACGACAGAACAAAGGGTATTGCTTTATCTCAACTAAAGATTATTCAACTATGCATAAGATTTCGGACTTGTGTTTTATAATTTTCAGTGTTTATTTTTGTTACGGAACTTAAAAATGGTTTCAATCTTTATTATACAAATTTTAATAGCGTTTCTCTGCATTCGGAAAAGCTTTTTTGATGAATAATTTTAGATTATGGTAAAATGTAGTCCATTGTTTGTAGAAGCCAAGGATCAGCAGTATTAATCGATTTGAAAGGCCACATATATCGATAAACACTCTATATTCTAATATATAAATTATAACACCACATTTCCTGTAGATGTTTTTCTTTTCTACATTCTTCTTAATTCGTCCATTCAAAATCAAACACTTGTAAATTGTAACTTTTTTATAACTGCATTTTTTTATATAGATATTGCTTTATTTCTAAGACTTATATTACCCAAAATAAATGTTTATATGTCTGCCAAAAAAAAAATATGTGCGTGATGGAACAGTCCACAGAAAACCTACACAACATCTATCAGGCGTTTAATGCCACGTGGTTATCATCCTGTCAGAATATCTTTTAGAATAAGATCATTTTACAACATGGATCATCTTGGTTGATATAATTATGTATTACTTACTAAGAAAAACTGAAATAACACGTTTTGATTAATACATAATATCGAAGGTATTTAGGTAGTATAATTTATTCAACCAGACTTGTATGTTCTCTAGTCTCATAGTTTAGTTGAGAACGGAGAGGTAAGCAGATTTTATTTGGTTTTCAGTTAAACACTTACCGAAATAAAGCCATCGGTGGTGATTATGAAGGCTTATAGCGCTCAAAATTTGGTTTCAATACCCTAAGTGGGCATAGCACAGATAGCCCATTCTGTAGCTTTTTGCTTAACAGCAACCAAACCGAAATAACATGGAAACATGCTTTGAACGACGTCGGCACTTTTTTCGCCAAATCATCCAACTTACTGTAAACTTTCATTTAGAATTATCAATATAATTTAAAAGAAGACAACAAAATATTTTTATTCGCAATTACACAAACTAATAGTAATAAAGTTCCTTTGAGTATGTTTACGTAAAGTTAGTCAACAATCGAAATTCTTATTCATTCATGTGACGCAGTCAGATTAATATATATATATATATATATGACATACCAGAAAACACTACGTTGAATTAAATGTGAGATTACCGTATTATTTACGCACGAGAATTGTCCATGTATTTTGCGAAGCTAAATATTCGTCATCAAAGATGTTTCTACTAAGATATTTTAAGCTTATTCAAGACATAGAGGAAAATGTATAGTATCCTAGACAAAATCCACTTCCGACCCAAAAACCTGGACTCCATCCACAGAAAGTGATGCTTTGCATTTGGTGAGACATCAAAGGAGTAATTCATTTCGAACTCCTCAATCCACAGCGAACTATCAATGCAGAGATCTATAGTCAGCAACTGGAACGTTTAAATCAAGCCCTTCATCAGAAACACCCCTCACTCGTCAATCGGAAAGGTGTTCTTCTCCACGACAATGCACGTCTACACGTGGCATGTTTTACGCAACACAAGATAATGGAGTTGGGTTGGGAAGTTCTCCCCCACTCACCATATTCTCCAGATATGGCACCATCAGATTACCATCTTTTTCATTCCCTGCAACACCATCTTAGTGAGAAAACGTATGCAAATGTACAAGGTGTTAAAGAGGACATCAACATGTTTTTGCTTCAAAGCCAAGTGATTTCTTTATTCAGGGCATTAACAACCTGATTGTAAGATGGAAATGCATCATCAATAAGAATGGAGCCTATTTCATTTAATAAATGTTTTGTTTTGATATATAAGTTGTTCGGGTTTTCTCATCTAAAAAATATAATATCTAAAAACAATAGTACATTATTTTTTTGTTTGGGTTCATGGGCGGAATTCCAGGAGATGTAGAAGACTGTGTGAGTGAATTTTCGGTAAATTTTAATATAATAAAAAATCTTATACACACAGCTTCAAGACTTTGCTCAACTGAGTACGTAGAAGAAGAAATCAACTCTATAAAGCATTCCTTCGTTCACACAAACAAGTTTCCAATAACCATTGTCGAAACATTTCCACACAACTACCAGAACAAAAACCTCAAACTCAACTGAAAAACAAAATTGACACTAATACACCAAACAGCAATACACCATTACACTGCAGTTTACCATTTATACCTGACATCAGCTCAAAAGTAATCAACAATTGGAGAAAACTTGCCACCAAACATAAAATTCCTGTTGATGTCAAATTCACCCATATATCCGGCACTAAACTAAATTTAATTATTAACTAAAATTACATAGAATCACACAATACCAACATCATTTATAAATTAACACGCAATAACTGTCCAGATTTTTACATCAGAGAAACAGGTAGAAAATTGAAAACCAAGTTCACTTAACATAATAAAAACCCTCCCATGTCTACCACCATTTCAACTAAAAAAAACACAGTATATCCATACAAAATACTGTAATTTTAAACAAAGAACCTAACATCAATAAACGCAAAATAAAAGAAGCTGTCTTAATTGAAAAAAACAGCCCCACCTTAAATCAACACCCTGGGGTACCAAGATATCTGTATTACACTGTGAAGCAATATCCGGTCATGTGACCTCTTTGGTCTATACTGCATATATATTCTCATGTATCTCTGTAAACTACTTGTACCTGAGGATGACAAAATCTTGTCTAAACGTCGTACATTTATAATAAAAAATTTTCATTACCCAGGCAAGCCATTTCAAAACCTTTATTTTCTAAAAATGGGTTAAGATTGTATAACATACTTTTACATCTATATGCCCTTAAAAGAACGTTTATTTATATCTCAAAATAATATATAATATAACATAACTAAAGTTCCATATTTAGCTTTATAAGTTAATATGTATAATTAATCAGCTGAAGTTTAGTTTAAAGGATTATATACCACTCTACGTAAATAATTATGTTTAACCATTTCATTCATAAACGTTAAAACTAACATTCTTACCTTTCTGTAGATATTTTCACAAATCCTTAAGCATATGCTGACAGACCACTACTAAAACAAATTGTATATTGGGGTTCTTTTCATTTCTTTCTGAGGGTCATTAACATTGATGGTAAACGATAGAAAAGTCAACAAAAGCAATTTCCAAATGGAATGGACACTTCAACCCTATTGGATATTTAGTCTGAGTCTTCACAGTTGATGATATGTCACCCTTTTACTAAAAGAAGAGATTGATAAGATTCATAGTTAAATTTGATAGAAAAGAAAATTTTATGGAAAAAATTTAACAACTCAATCATAATACATATTGTCGTTATATATGATTATACATTCATTAGTAAGATATAAATTTCATACACATATTTACATTATACTTAATAGTGACACTAATTGTTTTAACATAAAATATCCAATTTCTACACAATCATCAAATTATGTAATGTTATAATGTCACAGATATTGATTTTCTACATACATTAAAAATAGTAGATGATTAGTACACTTTATAATGAAAACAATATTTAAAAAATATCAATATTAGTTTAATTATTTGTTCACAAATCAGAAATTCTATTTCCACATATTTTTACATTTTCAAGCTGTTATTCTTTCTCTTAGATATTGTGAATTTGAAACGATTATATGATACGTTACCTTTTTACTTTTCCTCACCAAAATCTTCAGCCCATTTGTCTCATAACTATAACATGTAATATGAAAGATAGTTTGTCTATGACCGATTATATTATTGACTTTCAAGTTCTAATTGTTACTTTATGATATCTATTTTTGCAGCATGGAAAAATATTCAACCAAGAATGGTATTATGTTTTCTTCAAGAGAATG